TTACAGCTGGCCTTCTGCATCTTCGTGTTCCGCACCCAAGGGGACCTTGCTCACAGAGGGAAAATACTGAAAATATGCACATTTCTCCAGCCTTACTCCATAACTCGTGCAGCCTAACAGCCGTCATTCAGGGCTTCACAGTCACGTGGTTTAAAGCAAACATGGTAAGGGGTGCATGAGTCACAGGCAAATACTGCATCATTCGATGTTAAGGGACTGCAAAGATTTCAGTACCCTTGGGGATCCGGGAACCCATCCCCCTTGGATACTTAAAATCTGTCGGCCAGTGTAATCCCAGCATTCAGGAGGCTGAAGCAGGAGGATCACCATGAGATCAAGGCCAGCCTCACTTACATACCTAGACCTTGTCTCAAAAAACTAATTAGAAATTTTTTGGTTAGCAAATACAGTTGCAATGGTTGGTAGTTACACTAGTAACCTAAAGTTGTTTCTAGTTTCTTGAATCAATCACTTCTCAGCCTTTTGGTTAAGATCAAGTGCAGTTTCTTGATCATTATAAGTAAAACTTGCATTCACAATATAGGAGCCTAAAATTTATTTGTTTGTTTGTTTTTCTTCTGGTACCAGAAATCGAACTCACAACCTTGCACTTGCCAGGCAGGCACTTTGCCACTGAGCTAAACCCCCAGCCCCAAGAGCCTAAAATTTAAAGTCCTCTTGTTCCCAAGAAAGGAATGTATGCTGCTGGAAAAAAAAAAGTATCTTGTAAATAAGATTAAATAATATTGATTATTAGAAAAAAACAATAGTGCTGCTACTATAAAAATGCAAAGCAACACCTGTAATCCCAGCCCTAGGGAGGCTGAGGCAGGAGGATCACTGTGAGTTCAAGGCCAGACCGGGATACATAGTGAGTTCAAGACCAACCTGAACTACATAGCCAGACCCTGACTCAAAAAAAAAAAAAAAAAATCTCCTGCTATGTTCATTTGCTGGTGTTACACTGTGTAGCTTTCTTTACTTCATATAAAGATCTGATTTGGTTTTAGGGTCTGTAAAGCACTTAAACATAGATTTATTAGCTGGGTGGGATGGCGCACACCTGTCATACCAGCACTCTGGGAGCCTGAGGCAGAAGGATGGCAAGTTCAGGCCCAGTCAGAGCATTTAGTAACACCCTGTCTTAAAAAAAAAAAAATTGGGGATATAGTTCATGTGAAGGCCCTGGGTTTAATCCTCATTGCCTGGGGAAAAAAAAAAGGATTTACACATAGATTTATGTTTAAGTACCATTACAAGGGTATCCAGAAGAATGCCTTCCTTCCTTTCTCTCTCTCTCTCTCTCTCTCTCCCTTCCTTCCCTTTCTTTTTCTCTTTCTTTCTTTCAATAGGGTTTCACTACATAGTTTAAACTGGCCTTGAACTCACTAGGTGGTCCGGGCTTGGCCTCAAAGTGATGACCCTCCTGCCTCAGCCTCCCTGAGTGCTGAGGTTACAGGCATGTGTCACCATGCCCAGCTTTTTTTCTTTTAGAAATAGGACTGAAGCTAGGTGTGGTGGCTCACACCTGTAATCTCAGCATTCAGGGGGCTGAAGCAGGAGGATTGTTGAGTTTGAAGCCAGCCTGGGATACATAATGAGTTCTAGGCCAGCCTGCACAAGTAAGACCTTGTCTCAAAAAAAAAAAAAAAAAAAAAGAAATAGGGCTGCTACAGTACTCCTGCTGTATTAAATGAAGAGTCAGATCATGTGACCTCATAGTTTTTCCCAACCTAATATCCCATGATTCTAGTCTTCTGATATACACCACTGGGAAGCTGAGGCAGGAAGTGCTGAGACTCTCAGGAGCTCTGCCCAAGGCAGGTAGGTGGGAGGAGAAAGGAGAAAGCAAGGCCTCCTTATACCAGGCACCAGACCACACAGCTATTAGGGACCCACAAAGCTTTCCTCAGTAAAAACGTCCCGAGAAGCCTCTAGGCGAGAATGAAGCATTCACTGGCATCTCAGAAAACAAGGAAGTAGTGAAAAGCAAACAAAATGTTTCCCTACATTAGCTGAAACAGAACACAGATCCGCTGCTACACCAAGTGTGGTTAAATACAAAAAAATCAAGGCGGGTGTGGTGGCGCACGCCTGTAATCCCAGCACTCAGGAGGCTGAGGCAGGAGGATCGTTGCGAGTTTAAGACTAGCCTGGGCGACAAAGTGAGCTCAAGGTCAGCCTGAACTGCATAACCAGACCCTGTCTCAAAAAGACAAAAAAAAAAAATCAGTTCCATTGTTAATCTTCTGCACAGTGTGTACAGATGCCAGAGCGTCTCGTTCTTCGTGGTAAATACGTAGAATTTTTGTCAATTTTTTTTTTTTTTTTTTGAGACAGGGTCTTGCTGTATAGTTCAGGTTGCTCCTGAACTAACTATAAAGCCCAGGCTGGCCTTGAACTTGTGATAATCCTCCTGCCTCAGCCTCCTAAAGAGTGCTGGGGGGACTGGGGATTTAGCTCAGCGGCAAAGCGCCTGCCTCGCAAGCGCAAGGTCATGAGTTCGGTTCCTGGTACCGGAGAAAAACCAAAAACCGAAAAAAAAAAAAAAAAGAAAAGAGTGCTGGGATTACAGGTGTGTGCCACCACATCCGGCTTATTTGTCAATTTAAAAAAGCCCAGATGACTTGCATTAACGCTTAGGAAAGCCAAATAAGAAAGTAAATCCGGGCTCAACAGCCAGCATCGATCTTAAAGTTAGCTTTCAATACGGGACACTTTCTAGGGATTAGGTAATTGGGGTTATTAAACTGTTAACCTGAGGGCACCTGCTGGTTGCTTAACAGGTAAATCAAATGCTAAATCCCACACATGCTGATTCCCTTCCCTGCCTCTTCCCCATCAATTAAGTTCGTAACAGACTTCAAGACTACCCTCGAGGGGTGTGGTGCTGCACATTTGTAATCCCAGCACCCAGGAGGCTGAGGCAGGAGGTACTGCTGCAAGTCGAGGCCAGCCTGAATTTAAATAGTGAGATCCTGTCTCAAAAAACAAAACAAAACCAAAAGCCAAAGAAAAAAAAACAAACCCTCAAACCTATTACTTCCTGAGACCATCCTGGTTTAATCTTCACACTCCACATAGAGTTCTGCATTTTCTTTTTTCTTTTCTCTCTCTTTTTTTTTATACATGATCTTGCTAAGCAGTCCAAGCTGGCCTTGAACTCACTATGTCACCCAGGCTGGCCTTGAGCTTGCAGGGATCCTCCTGCCTCAGCCTCCAGAGAGCAGGGATTACAGGAGTGCACCACCACACCTGGCTCACTCCTGCATTCAGATGGTTCAGATTTAATTATCCTTTCTGTGGTTACTGCATCTCTATTACCTTTTTGTTTCCCGCTTCTAACCCCTACAAAACGCCAGGGCTGTGGTGAAAGGTACAAAGACTTTCGTATTTCCCACTGCCTCAAAGTACAACCTCAAAATGTGCTTATCTAATGGAAACCCAGGGTGTTATCGTAAGGACATATTTCATAACTTTTCATCTTTCATATTCACATCTAGTATATTCAGAGCCATGGAAAAGTAGTAGAAAACCAATAATTTTTCATTAAGTTAACTGCTCTTGAACCGTGCAGGAGAAACGACATTTAAATTCCAACTCTTTGCCTTTGACTGTCCCAGGAATTGGCTTTTAAAACAATCCCTAACATTAAAAATATTTTAAAAAACAGAAGTTGAAGAGGCTTGTGTTGTGTTCACCATCCCAGTGATAAAACAAATTGATTTTAGCAGCGGAAATTGAAATATGACACCTGGAGCAGCATTTAAACCCAGATGTATGTAAACATCTATATCTTTGTGTCTGAACAAAACCAACTTCAAGTCATTTTAAAATAGTCTATCTGAAAAAATCCTGTACACAATCTAGTTAATGCGCACTTTTTTTGAACTGAGCGTATCATAAGGACAATCTGTCATTTTTGCATACAAATAAAAACACTTCATCCTTTACTTCCAAGGTCTTAAGAAATCACAAGATTTTTAAAAAGAATAAACACGCCATTTCTGCTTATTAAATAACACGGGATGTGAAGAGGTTGGATACAGAATCCCAATATGCTATTTACATAGTCAAGCTCAAATCATTAAAAACCTTTTCCAATGTTAATGAAGCAAAACTATTTCTTAGAGTATTTTTCAAAACGTGGACAACTATTCTTCATTTGGGTACAAGGCAAGTGTTTTATTTTTCTGGTACCAGGAATCGAACTCGTGACCTCGCGCTTGCCAGGCAGGCACTGTGCCACTGAGCTGTATCCCTGGTCAAGGCAAGTATTTTAGATGGGGTCAATTAGGAACTTTTTGGTTAGCAAATACAGTTGCAATGGTTGGTAGTTACGTGAGTATCTAAAGTTGTTTCTGGTTTCTTGAATCATTATAAGTACAATTTGCATTCACAATATAGGTGCCTAAAATTTAAAAGTCCTCTTTTTCCAAGAAAAGAATGTATGCTGCCAGAAAAAAAAGTATCTTGTAAATAAGATTAAATAATATGATTATTAGGAAAAAAAAAACAATAGTGCTGCTACTATAAAAATGCAAAGCAACACCTGTAATCCCAGCACTGGGGAGGCTGAGGCAGGAGGATCGCTGTGAGTTTAAGGCCAAACATAGTGAGTTCAAGACCAACCTGAACTGCATAGCCAGACCCTGACTCAAAAAAAAAAAAAAAAAAAAAAAAAAAAAAAGCAAAAGACATCTCACACCAGAATCTTAAGTACCTACATACTATGGACACTGAAGTTTATTGATCTACAGTCAGATCTTTTGGAGGGGTGTTGAGGCAGAAATATAAAACAATGTTACCGCATTCTTGGCTAGCAAAGAGAATACCAAATTAGTTTGAAAAGTCCTTTCTGACACAATAATGAATTCTATCTACCCTTTTCCCGCCAACAAGGGACCTTTTCTGAAGGTGGGGGTTCAACTGCACTAGAAAAGAGAGGGGAGGGGAAGGGAGGGGAGGGGAGAAAGCAAGCAAGCAAGTAAAACAGGTACCTCCGGCCCCTTTGATGTTGTACAGACTGACAAGCTGTTTGCATGAAAATGATTCCCTTCATTTCCGGAAACTCAAGGATCTCTAGGTAATCTTGAACAACTTTCCAGTCTGGGATCACGTAATGAGTCACATCACTGGAGAGGAGCTTCCCATCTGAAACATAATCAAAGGCGTTAAGAGATGCCATCGCCATTTTCAAATCCAGTCTAGGACTATTTCAGGGTCACGGTTCCCGGTGTGCTAAGTAACTTCCGATCTACCATAAAATTTTTAAAAGACAACATACATCTACTTTGGTGGAGGCCTCAAGTCCGGGGAAATTCAGCACGCACTTTCTGGTTTTTGAAGCTGTGATACATAGAAGCTCAACATAGTTTATGGTGTTGCCAATGGCTCAGGAGGGTGACAACTTTAAAAACAATTATATTTAGCCGGGCGTGGTGGCGCATGCCTGAGCACTGTGGAGGCTGAGGCAGGAGGATCGCTGTGCGTTCGAGGCCAATCTGGGCTACAAAGTGAGCTCAAGGCCAGTCTGCACTGCATAGCGAGACCCTGTCTCAAGAAGACAAAAACAGGGGCTGGGGATTTAGCTCAGCGGCAAAGCACCTGCTTGGCAAGCGCAAGGTCTTGAGTTCCATTCTTGGTACCGTAAAAGACAAAACAAACAAACAAAAAAAGACAAAAATAAAAATAACAAGTATATTTGCAGCATAAGCTGAGCATTTCTGTGTAAACTCATTGCTATGCACCCACGTTCAAACAGAGCACTCCAAAAAACACGTGTTAAAACCACTTGTGTGGGGGCTGGGGAATTAGCTCGGCGGCACCGCGCCTGTCTGGCAAGAGCAAGGTCGTGAGTTCGATTCCTCATACCGGAAGAAAAACAGAAACAAAAACAAAACAACAACAACAACAGCAAACCACTTGTGTGTGGACAGCAAGATCAAGTCGGTTTTGTTTCAAGCTTCCGGGAAAGAACTGCGCAGAAAGATGCTGAGCGCCAGCCCTGGGAAGGGGTAGGGCTCCCACCCGGCTGAGAGCTGTTCAGCCAAGCTGTACATGAAATCCACCCCAGCCTGAGGCCCCAACCCTAAACTGAGGGTTCCGAACGTCGCAGTTGAGGCCCCCTCCCTGGCCCGCTAGGGAGTGGGAAGGGACGGCCACCCGCACGCTCGGTGGCTCACGCACAGCCTGGGGGCACGGCGGCGCGCAGCCGCCCCCACCCGGCGCTCGCGCCACCGCTCTGGGCGGCAGCGGC